TATTCTAATTTATTTCAACAAAATTTTTCTAATTGGACTAGTAAAAATAAATTTATTGATGAATTTATTCAAAATATACAAATAAATGCTCAAAATAAAAAACAATTATTAGAATAAATTCCTTATGATAAATTTAAAAATATTGAATATTTTAATAAAGAAGAATTTAGTATTATATATAAAGCAACTTGGATTAATGGATTTATTAAATTATATTTATATAATAATAATAATTGGATTAGAAATAGTAGTATTTATGTAATTCTTAAAAGCTTTGATAATTCATCTAATTTAAATAAAGAATATTTAAATGAGGTATATATTAATAATTATATTTAATTTTAAATAATAAGTTTTTAAGTTTTTATTTTTATTTTAGTGGAAATATCATTATGAATTTTATAGTAAATTAAAAAGAAATTCAGATGAAAATCTTATTCAATTATATGAATTTACTCAATATTTAAATACTTTAGATTATATGATAGTAATGAAATATGCAAAAAATAATAATTTAAGAAAAAATTTATCAAATATAATTAAGGATAAATGGATTATTAAATTATTATAATTAAATAATATTATTAAAGGATTTAAAAAAATACATCAAAAAAATCTAATTCATTGTGATTTTCATTATGATAATATTTTAAATATTAGAAAAAAGATTTTATCTATTAGTGATTTAAAATTATGTAAACTTATAGATTATTTTCAAATATATAAAAAAAATGAAATTTATGGTGTTTTACCATTTATAGCTTCTGAAATTTTAAGAAGTCAACCTTATACTTTAGCTATTGATATATATAGTTTTTCTATGATTATGTGAGAATTAATATCAGGAATTACTTTATTTAATAATGAAGTTTATGATTTTCAACTTAGTTTAGATATTTCATAATATTATATAAACTTAATAAAAAAATATTGAAATATAGATTTATCAAAAAGATCAACTGCATTAGAAATTAAAAAAATTATTAATAATTGGTATAAAAATCAAAAAGAAAAACTTTAATAAGAAATTAAAAAATGATATTACAGATTTTTATAAAGCAGATAAAGCAATAAGTTAAAATAAAATTAATAATTTAAATGTTACTATTATTCATTCTCAAGTATTTCATATAAGTCATTTACTTGATTTTACTGAAAAATTAAATGAAATTTTAGACCATAAAATTAAAAGTTTAGAAATTAATTAAAGCATTAGTAATTATTATAATATATATATAATTTAATAATTTCTTTAATTTAACATTTATAATTTAATATAATAGAAGTTTTAAATATTACTAATGATGAAATAAGTAAGTAATTTAAATATAAAATTAGATCTATATATTTTAATTTATTTATATTAATTTAGTTTTATAATAGATGAAAATAATTAAATTTATTTATAAATATATTAAATATTTTTTCTTTTATAATTATATCATATTATTATAATTTTTATAAAATATTTATAATTATATCATATTATTATAATTTTTATAAAATATTTATTTAATAATATTGTATATAAAGCAAATATTATAAAAATACAATTTATAATTACTCAAATAACTTTTATTTATAAATTAAATTATAATGATTAAATATAAATTGTTAATACTTATTAATCAATTATAAAATAAGTAAAAATATTAATTTATTTATTATTTTTGATAATAAATATAGATTGTATTATATAATCGATAATATATAATTTTCTGAAAATCAATCGCATACGTTACATGTCGGTAGCTACTTATTTTAGTTCAATGATCTTTTCTATTTTATTGTTATGTTAATAAAAAAAATGCTTTTTTTTTAGATGAGATGATACTTTTGTGTTCATTTTAGTTATTACATAATTTAATCAAAAAAGGTATCAAAGTTATTTATAGAACAATAACTTTTTTAATTTATATTTCCCGTGTAACTATAACCAGCTTCAAACAAGTTTGTTGAATAAATAATTTCCCAATCACGAAAATGTAGATTTATGCAAAATATGTCCAAGATTTTTACAAATTTTTATGCAAAAATTCTGTTATCGTTCTACGTAACGGAAGTTTTGCCAATTCCGACGCCAAAAGGCATAAAGATTCCAACTTTACACGAAGACTGTGTTATTCTTAGTCAACTAATATTTTCGAGTTTTGATATTTATTACTCCGTGTTGGAAAATGTCATCATTTCTTTGCCGAAAGAGTGAACTCCTTTGCCAAAGAAGTGACCTCCAAGAATCTAAAAACCGAATATTTACAATTCCATTCCAGGATTTCTGATGATTATAAGATAAATGATACTTTCCAACAAACTTGTACGTATGATGGAATCGTGTTCAATCCGGCCTGTCAAATTGAAAATGTACCAATAGTGACGATCAGAACCACTATATTAGAAGTTAGAGATCTAGGTACTTTGCATTATTCTATTTTCATTTTCCATTGATAAAGATTTCAGAGATTAACTTTAACAGTATAATATAACATATGCGGACAGATGTTAAGTCGAAGAATGTTCATGTGGAATTATCTGTAACAAAGTTAGATGAAAATGAAAGAATAGGTGGGTTACCGCCTCCCTTGGACGTTTTGATAATGATAAACCTCCGAATTCTGATATTGATGTACATGTACCTGAACCGGATAAGAAACAAAAATCCAAACCCCCCAACAAATCCACCCCGAATCACTCGAAATCCTATAAATTGGGTTTGTCTATCTTTGGAGGGATTTCTGCATCTGCTTTTTTAATCATGGTAGCAATAACATTTAGAAAAAAAAAAACAAGGCTTGGATGGGTTGCAATAACGAATTAAAGCAATGATGTATGAGATTGTCTTTTGGTTAACATTTTTTTTATATTTCTCACATTTTGTATATTAGCTCATTACTTTGAATTAACAAACATTCTGCATTTAAATTATAATTCACTTTGGTTTGGCTAATTTTTTCATCGTTTCCTAATAGAAAATGGAAATTTAACAAATTTCATGTAAATCTTTTTTTTATAACAAAAAAAAAGGAATGCTATTGTTGTATTCAGTTCTTTCGTTTATGTATTTATAAACAATTTTAAATTTAAGCAGAAAGTTTTTATTGAGTATAAAAGAAGTAACAATGACAGAATATTTATTTAATATTATCAATTAATCGATGTTGCCTCAACGTCGGCGCTCTTCACTTTCGTTTGATCAATATTTTAAACTTTTAAATGCCAAGTACTAAATTCTATTTAATTAAAACTGCGCAAATTACGAAATAATTACATTAAATTGAATTATAAAATACTTTTAAAATCAGAAATTAAATATAATAATAATAAACGAAAATACAAATGCGAAATTATAAAGTTAAACCGGCGAAATCGAAATTATCGCGAAGGTGTAAAAGGGAGGATTTCGAAGGGAATGTAATCAAAGAAATATCACAAGGGCGAGCGTGGATATTGAGCTTTTTAAGGATTTCCATCTCGTATATATATAAAAAAAAAATAATTAAGCCAGCCTGGCGCCTTGAAAATTTTGTCATACTGGCACCTTGACAACCTGGTGGAGCGTCACACCGACTAATTAATCAAAACTGTATCAGATACTTAATTGGTTTTACTATAATCAAAATTTATGTTACACAAAGCTTTAAAATAAGTTTACTATTAAAATAAACTCAAACTTCTAAAAGATTCAAAAGTTTATCTTTATCTTTTTTTTAATTAGATTTATAATCATTGCAATTTTCTTTTTTTTTGTGTTTGATCGCTTGTTACATATAGGGCATTATTTCATTATATTTGATTTTTTTAACTATAATTTTGTTTGAAATTTTTTTTTTGTTTTTTCTAATTAGGTTTCTACACTATAACTTCATGATGAATTGTTTAAATTAATATTCAGCAATCGCGCACATTTTAACCTTCCGCTCTTTAATTTGATTTTTCTCTTTTTTTATTTAATTTTATTTTTTATCTTGAATCGCTACAAAAGTAATTAAGGGCAATTTTCCTTATTTTATCTTTCTTTTATTTTTTTTTACGGGTTTAATTGCTCTAGGGTCGTAATACTGCGTCACTAATAATATATGCTAACATTTTTTCACAGTCTATTATGGTTGTGGGCAAAACTCTAATCTAACTTGGTGAAGTCGAAACTCTGTCCATTTGACGGATTTCGAGATTTCGATGGTTTTAATTTAACAAAATTTTAATAGGTTGGACTTAGTTAGTAATTAGCAAACCATGAAAATTGCAGTATCTTTCATTATGAATATTATGAATTTGATAAAAGAACCTTAAAGGCAAAAAAGCTAAATTAAAAAATTAAAGTCTAGAACAACTATCATTGTATTGTTATCTTATTATACTCAGTTCATATATTACTTAAACTCCTCTACATCAACTCATATAATTGAATTAATTGATTGATTGTAAACACAAAGTCTATCGTGCAAATTGGAAAAGTACAACATAACCTCCGAACGGTTAAAAAAGTATTCATGAGGAAATACAAATATTTTGATTTGTTTAGAATATAATCATTTATATATCAAGCAAGTTACATTTGTCTCAAAATTTAACATGATTATTTTCATATAAATTATTCGCTTTGGCTGAACAAAATATGTTTATAATGAGAATCAAAATATAATTTTAAAAAAATATTTGTTGGTAATGGTAACTATTTGATTGATAATTTTAATAAGCTTACCTGGGAAGATAAATGCAACTTTTATTGTTGTTAAATGTAATATTAATACATTTTATAAAGGTTATCTTTAAATCAATAAGCAATGATTTCAATATTCTACATATGTATTTCAGTGATGATTCTAATAAAATTTAATATCATTTTCTTATCAGCTGTAATTTTCCAGATTTCACATTACCATAAATTAGGATTTTCGTCAAATTAAAATAATCTAAATTTATCTAAATTTATCTGTATCTTTAAACTGGTCCTAAATTCCAACAATAATTTGTAAAATAATTTGAAAATGCATTTTTCTTTTAAAATATCGATTGTTTAAATGATAATAAAATTTGTTCTCATATGCAAAGCTCATCAAACAAATGATACGAAATATACTCCTGGAATAATATTTTAACATATTTCTTACGAGTTAAAGTTTTCGCGAAAAGTATGTAAATTCTCTTATTGAACTAAAGAGAAAATTTACAATTATTTGGATCAGGACTTTTTGAACTTCACTAGCCAAATTTCTCTCCGGACTAAGTAAAAACCCAATAAATTTTATTCCTGCTTTATTAAGCACTTCTGCAACTATTATTATTGTTTCTTGAATAATAGGCAGTTCTCAATGTATCAGCGATCGGTCGAGGTTTATTATTTTCTTTATCTAATTTAGCATGTTTCGAATTTATTTAGTATATTCCACTAATATTCTTTCTTATTTTCTTCTTTTAGCTGAAAAATTTACTGAGAAAAGTACTCAATCCTTGTGTTTCTGCAACATCATCATCTCAAATTCAACGAAAAAGAAAATACAATGATGATGTGCAGCATTTCTTTTATTACTAATAACGAATAATTCGTGTCTATAAATTTAACATAAAAAACCATATCAAAAACAACATCATCATCATCACAAGATGTCGTTGGAATTTAATACAATTGAGTATGTAATTCTGCTACAACTATTATCAAAGCTGATGTAACTGCATAACAAATAATGATAGTTATGAAAATATTCACTTCACTAACTATTAAAATATTAGCTCTAGAGAAACATAACTTAATGAAAAGAAAGACATTGCTTCTTAAAAGATTTAATAATCCAAGCAGGTCCGTCAAATATATCATAACCTCCGATCAGGGCTCCACCGCGCGTATTCGGAGCGAAAAAGGCTTGTTTCATACAACCAATTACATATTCGTCACTCATAGAGCCGCTCAAAAGATTTGCATCACTTGAATGAAAATGTTAAAATAAAATAGTTTTTAATTACTACCCGAAAAATTATATAATAGGCTAATTTTATTTGTAAATTCGGTACTTTTTCAATTTTTTTTATAAATATATTCATATGTTTAGCTCATTACGTTTTATAAAAATTTTAATAAATCAACATGCAAGCAGCCAAAGATTCGAATGAGTGTAATAATTGGATTGAAGAATATATTTCGAGAAAAAATATCAAATATTATGAATACAAACATTTTAGTAATTTTCAAGTAATTGGTACGGGCAGTTTTGGAAAAGTTTATTGTGCAAATTGGAAAGGTTCAGAGCAACATCTCGCCTTAAAATCGTTTCATAATTTTAACAATGACACTGTTAAAAAACTTGTTCACGAGGTAAATTACAAAATAAAAGATAAAATCTTTTTGTATATCAATCTAAAATTTATTTTTAATAATTTAGCTTGAACTTCAACGGGAAGTTGATTTTCATAACAATATCATCCGGTTTTTGGAAATTACATCAAACCAAGGTATAAATAATACGGATATATATTTTATATTGACCTTTGCATTATATTTTTAAATAAAATAATTTTTTTTTAATAATTAATTAGATGATCAAATGAAAAATTATTGGTTAGTAATGGAATATGCTGACGACGGTGCGCTTAAAAAGTATTTGAAGGATAATTTTGATAAGCTTGCTTGGGAAGATAAATACAACTTGGCATTCCAGTTAGCTTGTGCTGTGTTGTGTTTACATAACGAAGGAATTGTGCATCGTGATTTGGTAATTTTACATGACATATATTTTTCTTCTGAGTATTGCTGCGTAAAAATTAATTATTTTTTATATGCATATAATAGCATTCCGGCAATGTACTAATCCATCAAGGCGTTATTAAATTAGCCGACTTTGGATTATCGAAAAAAACTGAAGCAGCAACTAGTCAATCTAAAGCTTTTGGAGTAATTCCTTATGTTGATCCAAAATTTTTTAATAGACGAAGAAATGACAACACATCACCAAAATTTAAATTTAATGAAAAGAGCGACGTTTACAGCGTTGGTGTACTTTTGTGGGAGATATCAAGCAGATATCCTCCTTTTTATGTTGAAGAATACGACGTATATTTAGCTATCGAAATTTCAGGAGGACTTAGAGAAAAGACCATTCCCGGCACACCTGAAAATTATGTGAACATAGTGTTCCGAAAGGGTCGGGTCAAACCCGGGTCATTTGACCCGACTCGTGTTTAAAATCTGAATCGAGTTTATCATTATTTGACACGAGTCCTATATTCAACCCGACCCGTCGGGTTAGGGTCATACCTTTGCTTGA